TGAGGATCCCCACCCCCCCACCCCTCCCAACAGGGCTCAAGGCGCAGGTCTTTGGACGCGACCTCTCCAACTTCTGAGGCAGCGGCAGTTCCGATCTGGGCGAGTCCCAGTCGCAGGCGACTGCCCGGCTTCCAACCCTTCCTTCGGCCGCTGTGGCCGCCACTGAACAGTGCAGCTGAGATGAACCCGCAGGCACACTGTATCCTTCCTGATGTACCGACCCTTCTGCGGCACCACCTACTAATGCAGTGCCCTGGAATGTACCCAACGCCGAACCGCCATTTGCTTCCTCCCATGCCAATTTTGTCTCCCCGCCTTCCTCTCTACACTTCCGCAGCGGGCGTCGTCTGAATCTCTAATAGCTTAAGAGGTGCTGGGCGCAGTGGATGCATGACTTGGAAGATGAGCGGGCACCTCGTGCAGCAGCCACGCGCCAAAGCCCCAGCCCCTCCCCGTCACCTTCTTTGCCAGCGCCGCGGTCGTGCTGCCTGCTCACATTTCCCACGGTCCAGCAAGACGCACAGCCTCCACTTGCACACACCGTGTGCTGCATGTCTTACAACACAGACGATCCTGCCACAGACCCCAACAGGTGGTCACCTTGCTGCCGCTACTGGATTCAGAAGCCTTCTGGCTGGCTGTCACTGCTGCCGGGGCGCGCCGCTGCCCTCCTCTCGCTCGCCCAGCGGCATCTGCTCGTATGAGGACCGGCCCCGCCCGATGCCGCCCTCGCTGTGGGGCCCCGAGCCGTAGTCCCCTCCAGCCGTCCCGCTCCCGCTCCCCCGGCTGCTAGCGCTGCTGCTGCCGGCGGGCCTGATCCACAGGTAGGCGGCCAGCCCCAGCGCCGCCGCCCATGCCGCCTTGCCGGTGGGCGTCCTGAAGCCCAGCGCCCACGACAGAGTCCCAGGTTGCTGCTGTGACATGGCAGGGAGCGCAGGGATTGCAAGATGTGCCAGAGAGCTGCGTGAAGGGCAGCATAGAGGAAGCCCAGCTTTCTTTGAGGTCGGCGGCGCTGATGGGAAGGTTGTTGAGTCCCTGCCCGTCGTGACCCTTCTCACCTGCTGCAGCCTCCCCTATATAGCTCAGCCGTGACTGGCCTTTGCGGCAGTGTCACAGAGGCGTCCAAGACGGCGCAGTGCATGCAGGAGGAGGAGCAGCCCCGTGACAGCGCCCTCGTCCGCCGGAGCAGTGCAGAGGTCATCGCCGGCCCGGCAGTGGGTTTGACAGGTGCGCCAGCGGCACCCGTTGTGGGGCTGACACCGGCTGGCCTATGCTGCGCCGCTGCGCTGTTCAAGGCTGTTCAACGCCCGCGCTCGCCAGCAACCACCCCCTCGCCTCGCGCTGCCCAGCAGGCCTGCAGCTGAGCTATGCGGCCGGCAGGAGCAGCCGGCGCTCGCCGACCCCGCGCGCAGGCACTGCAATAGCGGGCGGCCCCTCGCCGGCGGCAACCTTGGACCCGCCAGCGCCAGCCATGCAGGGCAGCGCCAAAGTCGGCACCAGCATCACGGGAGGCAGCTGGGCGGGCGCGGCTGCTGCCGGGCAGCCTGCTGAGCTGGATGAGCGGGAGGTGGAGTTGCCGCCGCCGCCCCAGCTGCCCATCATCCTGCCCTCGTCAGCGGCGGCTGTGCGGGTGAAGGAGCAGCAGCTGGCTGGCGCTGGCGGCACTGGCGGAGGAGAGGACGAGGAGGAGGAGGAGGAGGACGGCGACAGCTTGGATGCGGCAGCAGATGCCATGGCGGCCCAGCAGGCTGAGCAGGGGCCCGGCCTGCTGCAGAGGGCTGTGGATGCCACCTCGAGCGTCGCCCACCAGGCCGCGGAGCTGGCGGCCGGGGCCTATGCCGCTGCCGTGCCAGCCATGAGGCAGGCGGTGGGGCAGACCGCCGAGGTGGAAGCCAGCGGCCTCGAAACTGCCAAGGAGGCAGCAGAGTCGGTGGCAGGTGCTGCTGATCCTGAGGAAGAGGAGGAGGAGCCGACTGGGTCGGGCACCAGCCAGGGCCTTGAGCAGCCCGAAGAGGCGGCGGCGGCTGCGGGCCCGCGGCGCCCACCCACAGTCAGCCTGGCCCAGCGCGCGGCCGCAGCCGCGGCGGCTGCCGCCGCGTCCAAGCCGGCCTGGGCCACGGCCGCCGCGCTGCCCGCCTCGGCGGGCTCGCCGGCCGCCACTGGGCAGGGCTACTTTCCGGTGGTGGGGGCGGTGGCGCCCGCGCCCAAGCCCGAGCCCCGCGCCTCGGGTAACTCTTGAGGAGGGGCTGCGGCAGCCTGGCGCGAATGTTTGCACCCTGCCTGGCAAGGAGAGGTGTGGGGGAGTCGCACGCCGTCACCACTGGAGACAACTCTCCCCACTGGTTGCTGTTTTGACCGTGTGACTGCCCCCTGGCCTGGCCGCCGCAGGTGCGCTGGAGGCCCGTCACGTGGTGGCGCAGCGGCTGAGCGGGCTGGCGGCGGAGGCGGCCCGCCACGCGCTGCCCCAGGCAGGCCCTTCCACCCCCGCCGGGCGCGCCGAAAGGGGCCAGGGCGCTGACGCCATGGTGAGCTGGGGGCTGAGGTGGCAGCTGGGAGGGCTGGTGCAGCTGTGCACCTGTCACAATCTGCCCTCGCCGCTGAGCATTTTTTTGTTTTGGCTTGTTCCTTGTTCCACTCTCTCTGGCCCCTCCCTCGCCCCCACCTGCCCCTCGCCCCTACCTGCCAGGACGAGGACTGGATCTCGGAGCTGGTGGAGCGGCTGTGGCCCTACATCAAGGCCGCCATGGAGGAGGTGGCCTGGCAGAACCTGCCCGGTGAGCCAGCGCTGCTCAGCGGGGGGCCTGCAGGATGGCTGGGGCGCTGGCCCAGCCTGGGCGTCGCGCCGCCTCGCAGGCCTGCGCTTGCCTCCGCCACCTCCCTGCATATGCTGATGGGCAGTCCTGGGCGTGCGCCTGTGTGTGTGTGTGTGTGTGCGCCCCGCAGACATCCTGGAGGCCAGCGAGCCCAGCTGGATCCACGACATCAACCTCAAGAAGTTTGTGCTGGGGGAGAAGGAGCCAGACATCAGCGACATACGGTGGGGGAGCGGGCGGGGTGGTTGGGTGGGCTTGTGGGCGCATGTTTGTGCACCCACACAGGGGTGGGTGCAGCGTGTGTGCGTGTAGTGCGTGCATGTGTGCCCCACAGTGCTTCCAGCGGGGGTGGGGTGGAGCGGGGCGCACAGCCTGCTGCTGTGCGGCCGCGCCCCGACGCGGCAGTGCTTGGGTGGGGTGGGTGCCGCCTGCCCCGCGGGCCTGCCCTCGTGTGCCTCCCCCTGGCGTGGCTGGCCCTGCATGCAGCGTGTGGATGGACGAGAACGACGTGATGGAGGATTGCTACCTGGAGTTTGCCTTCGAGTGGAGCTCGCGCACGGTGCGCCCGCTGCCCGCTGCTCCGCACGCAGGCAGGGCAGGGCATGCGCAGGCGGTCACATGCGCGGGCAGTCGCATGCCCGGGCCACCCAGCTGGCCGCTCCTGCATGCACTCGGCGGCGCGGGCGCCAACCCTGCCCAACCCTGCACACCACCATGGGCTGCCCACATACCCCCCCGCGCCAGCACACCCCTCCCCACCACCACAATGCCCTTGTGCCTGTCCCGCCCGGCAGGATGTGGAGCTCGAGATCCAGGTGTTGCCCGCCAGCATGGACAAGGCAAGTGGCGGCAGCAGGCCGCTGGGTGGCCAGGCAGGGTCACGGTCTCCGGTTGGTCTGCGCCCTGTGCTCCAGCCCATCTCAGGCTGGTCGGCTGTGGCGGCAAGTGCTGGGCTGGCTGCCTCTCCTCTCCGCGCAGGCCTGGATCCCCAACTTCATCGAGGACCGGCTCAAGGACATGCTGACCTTCTCGGTGCGGTGGATCCCTCGCATGCCTCTGTGTTCTCTGCGACAGGCGTTGCCCTCTGCTGCCCTGCGCCTGAGGGTAAAGGTCCCGTCGCGATCAGGCAGTATACTAGTACAACAGAATCCATGTCTGCACATGCCATGCGGCCTGACCGGGGCCCGCAGGTGGGCGTGGAGAATGCCAAGCTGCGGGGGCGCATCCGGGTGACCATGCGCCCGCTGCTGAGGCGCGTGCCGGTGGTGGGCGCCGTCCAGGTGGGTGGCAGGGTGGGCGGCCCCGCTGGCCCCGCTGCACGCGCAGGCCGCCACCTGCCGCTAGTTTCTCAGCCACCCAGGCCCAGGCCCATTCGGAGAATCGTGGCATTGGCGCTTCAGCGGCTTGAGCCATTCAATGCCTCGCGCCAAGCTCTTGCAGGTGTCGCTGGTGGAGCAGCCCGAGTTCGACTTTGACCTGACGCTGGGCAAGTCGAGCAGCGTGCCGCTGGAGCCCCAGCTCAAGACCTGGATCAAGCAGTGAGTAGGGGAGGAGCAGGGTTCAGAGTGGGATCCGATGGAGCTGCAAATGATTGGAGCTGGCGGTTCCCAGCTCAGCCCTTCCTTTCCCTGCCCTGCCCCTGCGTATATGACCCATCCCCTCCTGCCGCTTCCGCTGCTGCTCCTGCCGCTCCCCGCAGGACGCTCCAGGACTTTGTGTTCCAGACATACGTCATCCCCGAGCACTACTTCCTGCAGATCGACCCCCAGGCTGCAGGTGCCGCCAGCCGTGTTAGCAGCTGCTGCGCAGAGGGGTCCCAAGTGAGTGCCGCTCCGTGAGGCTAACCTGCCCTGGCCCGCCTGCCCGCCTGTCCCTCTGCCCGCAGACATCCAGTCTCCTGTGGGGGTGCTGGTGGTGGAGGTGGAGGAGGCGCGCAAGGTGCCTCGCATGGACTTCTTCACCCGCAGCTCGCCCTATGTGGAGTGAGTGGGGCTGAGCTGGCAGGAGGGCGGCCGTGTGTGGGTCCGCTGGGAGCTGGCTGGGCAAGAAGCCTGCCCCGCGGCACCTGCGCACGGCACGTGCCTGCCCCACTCATTGCCGCATGCCCCCTGCCTGCCTGTGTTTGCCCCTGCCTGCTCACCTCCCTGCCCTGCCTGGGCGCGCGCAGGCTCTACGTGCGCGACTCGCAGCGCCGTGTGACCAGCACCAAGAACTTCACCAAGCACCCTCGCTGGGGCGAATCCTTTGAGTTGCCTGTGCACGTGAAGGAACATCAGGAGCTGGTGAGGCAGCTGCAGGGCTGGGCGGTGATGGCAAGGCGCTGCAAGGGACCCCTCCCCATCACCTCTCCCTGCGCTTGTCACAATCACTTCCAGTATAGCATACCCTCGCTGCCCCTCTGCATCATGCATGAGGCTCAAGCTCACCTGTACCGTGCAGTATGCTGGTACCGCCCGTGCTCCCACCTGTACCGCAGAAGATGTCTCTGTTCGACTACGACTGGGCCTCGGCAAACGACGAGATCGGGCGTGCCGCAACCCGCCTCTCCGACCTGGAGCCCGGCCAGACGCGTGACCTGTGGCTGGATATCACCTCGGAGAGTGAGCACACGGCGGCAGGGGTGGCGGCGGCTGGTAGCATGCCATGGCGGCAGGAGCGGAGGGCGCGGCTGGATGCTGCTACTGGGCCTCACATTTGGCGGACAGGGCCCGGCGGGTGTGCACGCATGGATGCGCGCACGTCTCCTGGCGCCGTGCCATGCCTGCCGCAACTGCTTGCCCGGTCATCTGCTGGCGGCGTCCCGCCCGGGTGCAGGCGACAAGGAGTACCAGGCGACCAAGGGCGACATGAAGAAGCGGGACCACGCCAGGGCTGCCATCGCCAAGCCGCTGCTGAAGCAGGGCGGCAAGGGATGCCAGCTGCGCATCAAGGCGAGTCAGCATGGCACCTGGGCACCAAGTGCCAGCCCATGGTAAACCTGAGCTCTGCGGGTGCCGTTTTGAACAGGCGTGGTGGCGATGAGTGCACGGTACTGCCGCTGGTACCGCGTCACGACCCGTACCGCAGGCCACTTACCACGCATTTAGCGACGACGAGGAGAAGATGATCAAGGAGGGGCAGCGCGGCGGCATGCGCCAGATGCTCGACTCCCCGCAGGTCTGTGGGCCGCGGCTGGTCCTCAACCGCCGCCAAAACGGCGGCCCGCACCAGGGCTGCCGGTGCGGCCTGTCGCACAAGCCGTGAGTTGGTCTAGCAGCCCGGCAGCTTTGCCCTGCTGCCCGCGCCTGGCTTGCTTCCGCTGCAGGGCCGCCAGATCAACCCCCACCTGCGCCGCCTGCTGATGAGCGGCACGCTGAGCGTCAAGGTGGTGCGCGCCGAGGGCCTGTCGGTGTCCAGCATCTTTGGCCGACCCTCAGTGTGAGCTGCGTGGCGGGCAGGCCTGCTGCACAACTGGCAGGCCTGCTGCACACCTGTCTGCGGATCCGCTGGCCAACCGGCTCCCCAGCCCACGCTTCCCTTGCTCCCACGCCCCTGTCCGGCATCCCTGCTCACTGCCCGACTGTGCAGCAAGGCGCGGGTGCGGTGTCGGTCCCAGGAGAAGGAGCTGACGGCTGTCAAGGCCAGCCGGCAGGGCTGCGTGCAGGTGGGCTGCGCTGAGCGGCCGTCCACTGCTTCAAGCCAAATCCAGGCTGGTGGCGCCGCTCGTTGATGCTGATGCTGCTCTTTCCCTGCTTGCCTTCTGCAGTACGACCAGCCTGTCCAGCTGGATCTGGGGCCCGACGCCACGCAAAACCCGAGCACAGAAGGTAGGCACTGCTAGCTAGCTGATGACCTCCTCACGCATGCGTGTGCATTGGCATATGAGAGCACCAGCAGCCGCCTTGCCCTGCCAACGCTGCCAACTCGCTCGACCAGCACTGCTTGTTTTGCCTGGGGGCTGTGCAGTGGAGGTTGAGCTGGCAGAGAGCGGCTGGTTTGGCGGGGACGCCGTGGGGCGCGTGCGGGTGCCGCTGCAGGATGTCATGAGGTGGGTGCTGGTGCTGGTGCTGCTGCTTGGCCATGTGGGTGTGCGTGCGTCTAGTCTCTGTTGGGCTCTCGTGACGGGAGGCAGCCAGACGCATGCCTGCTGTTTGCCATCTGCAGCCAGGGTCGCATTGCAAAGGGCTACCCCCTGGAGGGCGGCGGCAGCCAGGGGAAAGTCCAGCTGGAGTTGGAGTGGAAGGCGTACTTCTAGGAAGGGGGGCCTTGGCGCCGGCGCCAAACCAGCTTGTTTGATACGGCAACAGCCGCACACTAAACCATGCAGCCTGTTCCAAGATAGCTAATCGGATTTCCGATGATTTCAATGCATGCAAATGTTGCCTCTTGCGATGTAAAGGGCTGGCGGATGAGGACCAGGTGAAGGTTCACGCAGCTTGGTGGAGCGGCTGGTGCGCCGCATGTGGGCGGGCCCGCCGTCCCGCCCTCCATGCATGCCAGCAAGATGCCCCACCCCGCATAGCTGCTTGTTGACCGCCGATCATGCATGCTGCCACTTGTAGTGGATGAGTGAGCTGAGGTTGAGGCGCCATCCTCAAGAGGGCAGCCCATCGATCGCAGGCAGGGCGACCCCTAGGATGCGCAGCCTGGCCGACGTTACGCGCGGTCTCGGAATCAAGGAAGACGAGGTGATGACAGGGGGGCTCGACGCGAGGAGGGTGCACCCGCCCCCCGCCGCCGCTGCCGCCTGTGCTCCGGCCGCTCGGCCTCGGTGCTGCCCCGTTGCAGGCAGCTGCAGGATTATGTTTCTCTTCTTTACCCAGCCCGGTTGCCTGGACCAGACCCCACATTCCAGGATGCCACCAGCCACCCCCGCGCAGCTGACGCCACCCGCCCCCTTCCCCGCCGATTCCGCCCTGCAGCTCCGGCCGCTGGGCGCGGGGTTTTCGGGCTTCCTGTTTGCCTTGGGCGGCTACTTCCTGCTGCTGCCGCTGCGCGACGAGGCGGGGGTGTCGCTGGGCACCGACAAGCTGCCCCGCCTGTTTGCCGCCTCCCTGCTGCTCACCTTCCTGGCCACCCCGCTCGCCTCCGCCCTCCTCACACGACCCCCAGCCAAGGAGCGCGGCCTCCAGCTGCTGTTCAGGGCGCTGTCCCTCTCAATCCTGGGTGCGCCCGCCGCCGCTGTGCCGCCGCCGCTCGCCGCTCGCGCGTGCCGTTTGCCGGCCCTTCAACCCCGTCTGCCCGCACCCCTGCGCAGGCTTCACGCTGCTCTACCTGGCGGCAGGCAACCCGCTCCCAGCGGTGCCCCTGGCGGACACAGATGCAGCCATGCCGGCAGATGGCGATGTCACGGCCGCCGCCGACGTGCTGGCGGCAGCGCAGCGGCAGCAGGAGCGGCGGCAGCTGCTGGACGCGCCCGGCGCGGCGCAGCTGACGCCCGCGCAGGCGGCCGTGCGGGTGGCTTTCTTCCTGTGGGCCTCGCTGCTCAACCTAGTGACGGTGTCCTCGCTGTGGGCTCGCTCCGCCGATGTATTCAACCCCGAGGCGGCGGGCCGGCTGTTTGGGCTGCTGGGCGCGGGCGCCACGCTAGGGCAGCTGGTGGGGTCGCTGGCGGCGGGCGCGCTGGCGGGCGCGCCTGTGCTGCGCGGCAGCGGCGGCGCCGGCCCCTCGCTGCTGCCGCTGCTGGTGTCGGCGGCGGCGCTGGAGCTGGCGGGGCAGGCAGCCGGGCGGTACAAGGTGGTCAAGGGGGCGGTACAAAGTGGCTCGCCGGTGCTGGCAAATGTGGAGGTGGAGGACGGCGGAGGCATGGTGAAGCAGGCCAGCAGCAGCAGCCTGGCCTGCCAGGGCAGCGCCAGCCACATGGCTCGAGCGGTCGGCAAGTGCGCGCCGCCTGGTGCCGGCCTTGCCGCCGCCGATGGCAGCAGCGCAGGCGGCGGCGGCGGCGGCAAGGCAGGCGCGGGCAGCGTGGGGGCGGTTGGCCGCAGGGCTGGCGCCGAGGGTGGCAGCCTTCTGGACCAGCTGCTGCGGCGCACTCTGGAGGGCTACCGCCTCATCAAGTGCGCGGTGCTCAGCCCTGGTGCACCCACCCTACCTGCTCTCCCCTCTGGGCTGTTTCCGGGCCTGCCGTGCTGCATGCCCCCCATGCCAGCACCCTCTCCGCGGCCATGATCCGCGCCGGATGCATGCGCATGTGGTGCGGCCGCCCTGCCCGCCTGATGCCGCAGGGCCTCGCCCTACCTGATGCACATGTGCGCCTACCTGGCCCTCAACTACGTCACCTCCAGCTTCTTCTACTTTGAGAAGGCGCTGGTGGTGGCTCGGGGTGAGGCGAGGGGCCGCTGGTGTGTTCCGCGGGAATAGGGGGCATGCCGGCCCCCGCATGACAGTGGGTTGCGAGGGAGGTGAGCGGCGTGCGGCTGCTGCGCCGCCTCCCCCCTGCCCCCGCAGTGCGTGACGCCGCCAGCCGGACCGCCTGGTTCGCCACCATCAACTCCACCTCAGCCTTCTTCATCCTGGGGCTGCAGCTGCTGGCCACAGGTGGGGCGGGGGTGCAGCACTCGGCCTTGTGAGGCGCTTGGTTGATTGGCTCCTTGCCTGCCGGACAGGCATCATGTTCTCGGGCCTCACATTGTGCTGCCACGGCTGTTCGTGCGTGTGTGCAGGCCGGGTGCTGCGACACCTGGGCCTGCCCCTGGCGCTCGGCATCCTGCCGGCAGCGGCGGGGCTGCTCATGGCTGGCATCGCGCTGTGGCCGGTGCCCGCCGCAGGTGTGCCGCCAGTGCCGTGCCGCCGCTTGGAACCCCACCCTCCCCCTGCCGCTGACGCACCTCCTCCGCCTATCCCGCCCATGCTTGCCGATGGCATGCCTCCCCTCCGTGCCCCCCTTGGCCAACCCTTGGGCCCTGCAGTGGCAGGGGCGGAGGTGCTGCGCAAGATTCTGTCCTACTCGCTGGCTCGCCCCGCCCGCGAGAGCCTGTTCACGGTTGTGAGCCGGGAGGAGAAGTACAAGGCCAAGATCTTCCTGGACACAGTGGTGCAGGTGGGTGGGGGTATGTGAAGGGCACATGGGGAGGCAGGGACACGGTGGTGCAGGTGGGGGGGTGGCGCTGGTTTGTGTTGTGGCACTGCCATGCAAGCAGCGGGAGGAGTTCTAGCCCGAGCTAGGGCTGGTTGGTTGTCGACAGTTATTGCTGTTGAGTTTGTCCGTCCATGCTGCTTGGCGTGGTGTGTGCAGAGGATAGGCGACACGCTCGCGGCGGCGGCCTTCCAGGCGCTGGTGCCGGCGCTGGGGTTTGGGCCCTCCGGCATGGCGGCAGCCTGCGTGCCGGTGTGCGCGCTGTGGGCGGCGGTGGCCTACCGGCTGGGCCGGCGGCAGCAGAAGCTGGCGGTAGCGGCGGCGACCGCCAAGCCCCTGCTGGCTCGGTGAACCATGCCTCGTGACCTCATTTCATTGATGTTGTTTTTGATTAAAATTGATTTGCTTTGAATATAAAACAAGTCACTAGGTTTGGGGCCCAGCGCCGGCGCCTGCCCCGTCACAGCGGTGTGAGCACCCCCAAAAATAGAGATTAGCACCGGGACCCACAGCGACGGAATCCCCGCTTGAGAGCAAGGCGCGTGGCAGTTCTCAGCGAGCCACCCACAGCCTTTTGTCAGGGGGTTTGAGTTCCACCCACCACCTGTCGTTCCTCCACGCCCCTGGCTCCTCTAGCTGTGATTTGTGGGCGGGACTGAGCTGCAGGAGCTGAAGAGAGAGGGTGGCAGCGACTTGTCTGGTTCGCTTTTGTGCAAACATGGGAGCAGCTTCTTGGTTGCAGCTTGGTTGCAGTGGCTGGCTGGGCTGCCAGCGGCGCCGTTTGGCAGTAGAGCGGCCAGCAGCAGCAGCAGGAGCAGCGCGGCCGTGGCGGCGGCGACTGCCGGCACTGCGGTGTGGGCCAGCCGAGGAGGCGGAAGCCGGGTACTCGCTGCCCCTGCCGCGGCCCAAGAAGTCGCCGCAACTGGAGCCGTCCTTCTGGCTGGGGCGTGAGGGAGCCGTGGAGGCTCAGCTCAAGGTGCGGGTGGGGGCTCTGCGATCCTGCAGAAGCGCCCTTCCGCCCGAGGAGCGGCGACCTGCGACCTGCCGTGATGCCACACCCCCACGAAGCTGCTGACCCCGGCCTTGTTTGCAGGCGCTGAAGAACAACAACTTCCCGCACCACGACGCCGGCATAGAGGTGCTGTATCGCTTTGCAGGTGGGTGGCGTGCGGGGCCAGCAGGGCTCCACCACAGTGCCGAGTCTGCTGACCGCTCCTCTCGCTCCCGCCCCGCCCTCTGCAGCCTTTGACCCGTTTGCGCGCACCGACTACTTTGGCGTCACCCTGGACCTGGGGCAGTTTGAGCGGTTCCGCCGCATCCTGTACACCCCCTACTACACCACCCTGCTGAACCTGTCGGAGTGGGAGGTCACGTCGACGCTGGAGGTGTCGGAGTCGCAGTGGGTGGCGCGCGTGCACGTCATCAACGGGTACCGCCGCGAGGAGCGCGACTACAGCTTCTTCATGGAGCAGCGATTTGGCGGCAAATATGACGGGTGAGGGGTGCGGGTGGTGGGTGGGGGGGGGGGGCAGGGTGCCAGGCCAGGCCTCGGTGCTGCGTGAGTGGGCGACGATGGCTTAAGCATGACTGACGCCTGGCTGTGCCATGCTCGCTGCAGTTTCTGGTATTGCTCCCGGCTGTTGGCGGAAGGGTGCACCGCCAAGACGCTATACGGGGTGATCTGATCCGTTTCTGTACTCTGTCATTCTTCACTCCTGTATACAATTTAGCGCCCCACCGCGCGCTGTAGCCACCCCCTCTCGCCTCTTGTGCAGTGTAGCACTATTTCTAGCGCTGTCTGAAAATTTTTGGTCGTTCCCGCCGCCGCTGCTGCCGCCGCCCTCGCTCCCGGCCTCTTCCTGCCGCTGCCGGCTGGCCCAGGCCGTTGCAGCACCCGTTGAACTTGTAACATTGCTACATTGCACTCAGGGCCACACTTGGGCGTCCTCTGCTGGGGATCAGGGCCCGGGCTGCTGCAAGCAAGCCTTCAGGATCGGCGCCTGGCGCCCACCAGTCAAGAGGAGATCGGCGCCCGCCCGCTTGGCTTGCTTTGGTGACCCCTATCTCTGCGCCTTCTCTACCGCTGCCAATCGCACGTTGGCAGTTGTCCTCGTTGCTCTGCAAGCGTTCGAGCCCTCGGCAGGTCACCAACGTGCAATTGGCCGGCTGCAGCAGGGCGGCAATGAGGGCTCCCGCAGAAGCCCAGGAGCCAAGATAGGGCGTCAGGCAGCGGGAATGGCGCTGCCGCCCCTCAGCGAGCCCGCAGACGGGCGGCAGGGCCCGCCCAAGGCGGTGTTCTGCATAGCTGGGACCAGCAGCGGCGTGGGCAAAAGCTCCATGGTTGTGGGCATCGCGGGGGCGCTGAGGTGGGGCGAGCAGCGCTTGGATGTCTTCGGCGCGGATGACACTCGGGTGCAGGCGCAGCTGTCGGTCTGGGCTGCTTACCCCGCCGCCCGTTGCGTGCAGGGAGCGAGGCCTCACGGTGCAAGCCTTCAAAGTGGGCCCAGGTGAGCGCCCACCTGGGGCTGGGAGCGGGTGCGGCGGCGGCGCTGCCGCACTCCCCCGTACCGGCGCCGTTGGCGCCGCCTGGAGCCACATCCGTCTCTGGATCACTGCTTCCCCTGCCCTGCCACCCACCCTGCAGATTTCATCGACCCCATGCACCACCAGGCGGCCACGGGGCGGCCCAGCATCAACCTCGACAGCTGGATGCTGAGCCGGGAGCAGGTGCTGGCGGCGTTCCACCGCGCCGCGGCGGGCGCCGACGTGGCGATCGTGGAGGGGGTGATGGGCCTGTTCGACGGCCGCGACGGCACCACCGAGCAGGGCAGCACCGCGCAGCTGGCCAAGTGGCTGGGCGCGCCGGTGGTGCTGGTGCTGGATGCCTCGGCCCTGGCCCGCAGCGCCGCCGCCGTAGCCAAGGGCTACATTGAGTTTGACCCAGACCTGCGCCTGGGCGGCCTGCTGTTCAACAAGGTCGGCAGTGCGGCGCACACGCAGTGGCTGCGGGACGCCTTGGCCGCCTCGGGCATCCAGGCCGCGGTGCTGGGCGGCGTGCCGCAGGTGGGCGGGTTGAGGAGGGGCGGGGGCTGGTGGGGCTGCTGCTGGCGCGGCTGCCGGGCTTGGCAAGCCTTGTGTCTTCTTCGCGGCGGAGTGAGCCCAGGCTGCCTGCAGCCGATGCCGCGGCCACAGCACCAGCTGACGTTTCGGCGCCCCATGCCGCCGCCGCTGCAGAGCCAGGAGGTGGTGGTGCCGGAGCGGCACCTGGGCCTGCACATGCCTGCGGACGACGGCGTGCCGCACAACCTGGTGGCCCTGCTGGCAGCCCTGGTGGCTGCCCACGTGGACCTGGATGCGCTGCTGGAGCTGGGGGCCACAGCCGAGGTGCCGCCGCCGCCGCCCGCCACGCCCACCGCGCCCGCCGAGCAGGCGCCCGCCGCCGACGCCGCCGACGCGCAGCAGCAGCAGCGGCAGCAGCAGGGGGAGCAGCCGCGGGCGGTGCGCATAGCGGTGGCACGGGATGCCGCCTTCTGCTTCTACTACAATGATAACCTCAACCTGCTCGCCCAGGCGGGCGCCGAGCTGGTCTTCTTCTCGCCGCTGGCCGACCCGCTGCCCGCCGACTGCGCGGGAGTGTACCTGGGCGGCGGCTACCCCGAGCGGTGAGCTGCCGCAGTTGTGTGGTGGTGGTGGTGGTGGTGGTGTGGCTCGGCTGGCGACTGGCGACTGGGACCAGCCTGTTCCGGCTCGCGCTGCCTCTCCCCTGCTGTGGCCCTGCGGCCAGCAGCCCGCTCCAGCAGCCCGCTCCAGCAGTCGCGTTGTGGTCCAGCCTCCCGTCCTGCATCGGTTGCTGCTCATCGCTCTGCGCCCTGCCGCGCTGTACCGCCATGTCTGTGCAGGTACGCTGCTGAGCTGGCGGAGAACCGGCTGATGCGCGCCAGCCTGGCGGCCTTTGCTCGCGCGGGCGGCGTGGTGTATGCCGAGTGCGGCGGCCTCATCTACCTCTCCAGGAGCATACAGCCCAGCCAGGAGGAGCCCGCGCGGCCCATGGGTAGGCTGACGGGGCCCGGTGCATGCACGACATGCCTGCCTGCAGCGGCACATGCTGCACCGGCCACGCAAACGGGAGCCGCCGCCGCCTGCCTTGCCAGCCCCAACCCCCGCCCCTGCGTGCCTGCCCCTGCTGCAGTGGGCGTGTTCCCCTTCAAGACGGTCATGACCGAGGGCAAGATGACGATGGGGTATGTAGAGGTGGAGACAGAGTCGGGGTGCCCGCTGTTCCCGCCGGGCCGCAAGGTCCGGGGCCAGGTGTACCACTTCTCCGAGATTGTGCAGGTGAGGCCGCGGCAGCGGCATGGCAGCAGTGGGCAGGGCCGGGCGGCCGCCGCAGATGGCGCTGCCGCTGCCGTCGGTTGGCCGGGCCGGCGCCGCGCTCTACGGCTGCGTGGCTGCTGCCCCCCCTCCTCCTGATGGCCAGCCGGCGCGGGGCCGCCTGCAGGAGAGCGTGGTGGGCGGCCTGGGGCAGGCGCTGACTGGAAAGGCGGGGGCGGCGGAGCAGCAGGCGTGGGGCACGTGCTACCGGGTGCAGCCCCAGATCCCGGGGGCTGCCGAGGTGGCCGAGGGCTTCTGCCACGACAACGTGCTCGCCTCCTACGTCCACCTCCACTTTGGGAACTGCCCAGGCGCGCTCCGGGGCCTGCTGGCGGCAGGCCCATGGCACGCCCGCCAGGCCGCCACCTGCTGCCAGGGGGAAGGGAGGCTAGGCTAGGCTCTTCAGGCCCCGCATGCTGGCCCGCTCCCTGCCTGCCCGGCATCACTGCATCCCCGCTACTGCCTGCCCTACCCTGCAGACTTTGCGGCCAGCCTGGTGGCCAAGTGTGGGTGTGTGGACCTGGAGGCGGTGGGCGCCGCGGTGGCGGAGGCGGCGCAGACGGCGGCATATCTAGAAAGCGCGGTCGCCTCGCTGCACAGCACGCCGCGGGTGAGATGCCGCGCGCGTGTGTGTGTGCATGCAGGCGGCTTTCGTGCTGCTGCTAGAGCTCTGGCGCCGCCGCGGATGGCAGGCGCCATACTGCTGCTGCTGCTGCGCCCTCGATCGTTGCCCGGTTCTGCTGCACACCCGGCTGCTCCCCGGCTGCTCCCGACCCGGCTGCCCGCTGGCCTGCCTCCTGCTGGCTGTGCAGTCTGCGACCAAGGGCAGCCGCGCGGTGCAGCACTGCCGCTCCTCCCCAGACTTTGCCAGGGATGAGCGGCTGGCGGCCAAGCAGCGGCTGGGCGCGGAGCCGCACCGCGGGCACTCTGAGGATGCGCGGCAGCACCTGGCGCTGCCCGGGGGCGAGAGCGGCGTGCACCGTGAGTCGCCGCCGCCACTCTGCGCCTGCTGCCCTGGCCGCCTCCCAGCCGCCAACAGGCGCCGCAGCCGCGCCTGCCGCCGACCTCTCGTGTGCCTGCCCGCCGCGCGCCTACCCTGCGCAGACCGGCACGGCCGCCTGCAGCAGCCCGGCATGCCCCGCCGCTCGCTCTCCCCCGCCACCACGCTGTCCAAGGTGTTTAGCATGAACTCGCTCAGCAGCTACAGCCCCCACATCGGCACGGGGGTGCTGCCGCCGGGCGAGGTGCTTTCGCCGCCGCTGTCCGACTCGCCGCAGCAGCTGTCGCCGCGCGAGCTGGAGCACCCGGGGGCGCACCACCACCCCTACTTTGGCGGGCCGCCGGGGCACCAGCAGCAGCAGCACCACCAGCAGCAGCACTATGGGCAGCAGCAGCACTATGGGCAGCGGCAGAATGGCTACCACCATGCCCCGCAGCAGCAGCACCACCACCACATGCCGCCGCACGTGCCCCCGCTGCCGCTGGAAGGCATGCCTGGCTTCGCCGGCCACCGGCAGCAGGCGGCGCCGGCGGCGGGCCAGGGCCACCTCCCCAACTGCTACAGCTGGCCGCGCCTGCACCAGCCTGGCGCGCAGCCGCCCATCATGAACGGCTGGCCCGGCTCCAGCGCCTTCGCCGCCGCGGCCGCCCAGCAGCAGCACCAGCAGCAGCAGCAGGCCTTGGCGGCGCCCTTGTACCCTCCCGGCGGCGCCGCGTTTGGCGCGTGGCCGCCTCCCAGCGGCCGGCACAGCCGGTCTGCGTCGTACGAGCGCCCCGCCAGCGCTGGCACCGCCGTGCTGCTGCCGGCCCGCCCTCCCAGCCCGCTGGAGCTGCAGCCCGCGCTGGAGCCGCGGCACCTGGCCCTCAGCGCCACGCCCTACAACTGGCAGCACAGGTGGGCCCTGCAGCCGTGCTGCCCTTGCTCGTGGTGCGGGCCTGGAGGCGTGGCTGTGCAGGTGCTCGCTGCGTCACCCGCCGTGCTGGGACCTCGCCCGGCCCTGAGGTGTGTGCTGCCCGCCGCCCCCCCGCCTGCCTGCCTGCAGCCACACGCCCAGCGACAAGATTGTGAGTCTGAGCCCCGGGGCCACCGAGATGCTGTGGGCGCTGGGGCTGGGCGCCAGGGTGGCGGCCGTCAGCGACGCTTGCGACTTCCCTCCCGACGCGGTGGCCCGCGCCAAGGCGCGCCGCAGCTTCGCCGCCGCCTCCTCCTGCGCCTCCTCCCTGGACCGCCAGGGAGGCAGCGCCGGCACCAGCGCGCCCGCCAGCCGCAGGGAGAGCCCGACGTGCTCGCAGCGCGGCGGCGGCGCCGCGGCCTGGCACCACGCGCCCGCCTCGGGCGGCGGCTCCAGCCCTGGTGGCCACCACCACCAGCAGCAGCAGCCGCCCCACCACCACCACCACCACCACCACCACCCGCACCAGGGCGTGGAGTTTGTTGTGGATGAGGAGGTGCTGGCCCGGGAGCGGCCGGGGCTGGTGGTGTATGAGGAGGCCGAGTCGGCGCTGTGCGCTGCCGGCTCCGGCGCCGGCGCCGGCGCCATGATGTGCGGCGGCTGCGGCATGGGCCAGGCGGTGGTGGAGGCGCTGGTGGCGGTGGGCCTGCAGCAGTCGTGCCGCGTGGTGTGCGTGCGCAGGCGCACGCTGTCAGATGTGCTCGAGTCGATGCTCGTGGTGAGTGGCGGCGGCGGTGGCTTGGGGTGCTGAGCTCGGGGGCAGGTGGGGAGGAGGTTTGGGATGATGCAGCGAGGCAGGAGAGGGTGCACGGTGCCGGGGAGCGCAGGAGCCTGCATGCGTGTGTGGTGGCGGCGCCTGCTGCTGACCTGGCACCACGCTGCCCTCGGCGCCGCAGGTGGGCGAGGCGGCGGGCGTGCGGGAGGAGGCGTTGCGCGCCGTGGACCGCCTGCGCGGCCGCCTGCGGCGCGTGGCGGGCGAGGCGGCGGCGGCCGCAGCCGCGGCGCCCTCCCGCCCCCGCGTGCTCGTGCTGCAGTCGCTGCGCCCGCTGCGCACGGTGGGCTGGTGGCTGCCCGACCAAGTCATGCTGGCGGGGGGCGCCTGCTGGCCGGAGGAGCAGGCGGGGGATGCGGCGGCAGAGCTGTCCTGGGAGCAGGTGCGCCCCTGGCTGGCTGCCCGCCTGTTCACCACCAAGCAGAGCTGCGTTGCTGGCTGCCTGCCCTGTGCTGCCGCCGCTGCACAAGGCAGCCGCGCTGGGCGCATGCCGCAGAACAGCGCCCGTCCTCGCCCCGCTGCCCAGCTTGACCGCGCTGGGCCTGCTGCGCCGCGCCACGCAGGTGCAAGCCTTTGCCCCCGAGGTGCTGGTGATTGCGGGCATGGCCGGCGGCAGCGCCCTGGGCCCCCTCACCGACCTCTGCGCCGTCGCCTCGCTGCCCGGCTGGTGGCTGCTGCCCGCGGTGCGCGCCTCAGCCGTGTTTGTGGCCGACGCGGCGCTGTTGTGCCGCCCCGGGCCGAGGCTGGTGGAGGGGGTGGAGTGCCTGGCGCGCATGTTGTGGGACGACGCCGTCCCCGGCTGCCCCTGCCCCGACCGCGCCCTGCTCAAGCTCAGCCTGCGGCCGGGCCAGCGGTGCCGCCCGCGCCTGCTGCCCAACCACTTTGTCCCGTTCACACAGTAGCAGCACAGTAGCAGGCGGGGCCACCCCCGCACCCCCTGTGTACCAACGCTGCCCAGCCGGCCGGCTGCCTCGACGGCCTGCTGCGACACGCAGGCGGCCGCCTCTTTTCCCAGCGCGGCGGCCGACAGGCGCGGCGCCCCTCCCCGCGCTGGCAGCACCCCCTGACCAACGATTGACTTTGGACGCAGCCAGATGCGACTCGTCCGCTCACTTGCTCCATACCGACAGGCAGCTGCCTGCCCCTTTTGTATGCGCGGTACATGTGCTGTGCCGGGCGCCTGCTCTTCTCCCCCCCTCAGCAAAGCCAGCCCCCTGCTGGCCCCTTGCCCTCCGCTCTCCTGGCACCCCTTCTCCTTTGCTGCAGCTCTCCTTGCCCGCCCGGGATCTATTTTTTGGCGTTGACCGTGTTTGTGTTGGCCGCATACCTCCCCATCCTGCCCAAATCCCAATTCCCTTCCCACAAAACACTCACCCCTCCTTGCACGACAGCCCTGGATCGGATCCTCCAACTCCCTTTTTCATTCCGGCACTCGCCGCCAAATGCCTCAAGTTTGTTGGCGCGCTCGCACTTGCTTGCCTTCCTGCCTGCCTGCCTGCTGGCTCGTGCATGTGCCCCTCTTGGGGCCTTGTGCCAGCCTGTGCCTGGCTTCTGCTCTCCCAGCACTGCTCTGCTCCCTTCATGGCATGCCGCCCGCCGCCGATTCTCCACCTCTGGGCAGGCCAGCCCTCTCCTTCCCATCACTGCACACCTCCTTCTGCGTCGCATGCCAACACTTGCCCCTTCTCCGGCCGAGGAGATGTGTAACAGATGTAACATCGCAGCATGCGATTTGGCAATGGGAGGAGGGTTGCTGGCTGCGGCGCCGCGCGCCGGCCTCTCATCCCTCCTCCACCGCCGCCGGGCCGCCCCCGCCGTCGCACTCGCCGATGGCGCGCAGCAGCGCCCGCGCCTTGAGCCGCATCTCCTCGTACTCGCCCTCGGGGTCTGTGTGGATGATAAGGCAGCGGGGGGCAGGCGGGTGTGGTGCGAGGGGTGAGGTGCATGTCGAGCGGCAGCAGGTGGAGGGCAGGACGGGGCAGACGACGGCAGCGGAGGGCTGGCCTGACAGATAAGGGAGCAGAGCCGTCCCGCGGCCTCACCCGACTGTACCACAATGGCACCGCCTGCTCCGATGCTGACCTCTGCGCCGCCGCCCGCGGCGCCGCCTGGGCCGCTGCCAGGCGCGAGCACCGCTGTGCGGATGACGATGTTCAGGTCGAATGTGTCGTTCAGAGAGATGTAGCCCAGGCTGCCTGCGGGGTAAGGCAGGGCGGACCAGGGCGACGCAGGTGTCAGGCAGGCGTGGCGGCGGTGAGCCCAGGTGCCGGGCAGGCGGCGTGTGGCTGGCCGGAGCGGGCGGCCCAGGCCAGCCACCCGCTGGGGTCCACCCTTACCCACCCTCCTACCCACCCTCCTGTACACCCTCCCACCCACAGCCACGCAGGCAGGCAGCGGCCCACCCGAGTAGACCCCACGCGGCCCCTGCTCCAGCCCATCGATGATCTCCATGGTGCGGATCTTGGGCGCGCCCGTCATGCTGCCCCCCGGGAAGGCGGCGCGCAGGCAGTCCACCACGCCCGCCCCGGGGCGGCGCAGGCCGCGCACCGTGCTCACCATTTGGTGTACTGCGGCAAGTTGGTGGGGGGTGGGGCGTGTGCATCGCTGACAGGAAAGGCTTCAGGACCACACAGGCGCACGCTGTGGTGACCGCAGCATGCCAGCGCAGCATGCCACAGCCCCAGCGACCACCAGCCAGCCGACACCACCCGCCCGCGCCCTCGCGCAGCCTGGCCCAACACACACACACACAGACACACACGGCTGACACCCGCTGCCTCGCCACAGCCCACCCGTGGCGTAGCTCTCGATCTGCATCAGGCCCGGCACGTGCACGCTGCCGGGGGCGCACACGCGGCCCAGGTCGTTTCGCAGCAGGTCCACAATCATCAGGTTCTCGGCACGGTCCTTCTCGGAGGCTGCGGTTGAGGCAGGCAGGCAGGCAGGCAGGCAGGGAGGGAGGGCAGGTGTGGGTGTGTGGTCGGGGTGGAGGGAAAGTGGCAGGGAAGGAGACGGGGAGGTGAGGAGGGAGAGCAACAGGCGCAGGAGCAAGGCGTGTGCGCGTGGCAGGAAGCATGCTTGGGCCTGCGTCACATGGAGCCCCCCAGCGGCAGCCCCGGCGTGCCTGCCAGCTGCGCGGCGATGGCGGCGTCCTGCCGCGGGTCGCAGGAGCGCGGCGCGGTGCCCTTGATCGGCTTGGCCTCCAGCTGCCCGCCGCGGCCGCCGGCCAGGAAGCGCTCGGGCGAGCAGCAGCAGAGCTGCAGGTCGCCGGCCCCGAAGCACAGCCAGGCGGCGTAGGGCGCGGGGTTGGTGGCGCGCAGGGCGTGGTAGAGGGCGCGGGGGTCGGGGGCGCCCTGGCGGCGCAGCTGGGTGGTGAGGCACACCTCGTACGACTCGCCGTCGTGCAGCGCCTGCGTGGCACAGCGTGCACGGCGTGGCACAGCATGCGAAGCACGGGTCAGCGAGAAATCAATGCACCGGCTGGCTGTGCGCGGCGGCCCACAGAGCGATGCATGCTGCAGCAGCGCCCCGCAGCCCCAGCCCACCTGCATGCAGCTGCCTATGTTCTGCAGGTAGCGCTGCCGCCCCTCACGCAGGCGGAAGGGCCCCGGCTGCCGCCGCTGCGCCTTGCCGCTGGGTGGCTGCTCGGCTGCTCCCCTCACAGCTGCCCCATTGCTTCTGGCAGCTTCGTGCGTGCCGTTGGCAGCCGCACGGCCGGTGCCCTGCTGCGGCGGTGGAAGGCTGCTGTCGCCCCCATCGGCCGCAGCACTTGCCGACGCCAGCGCCTGCACTCGCTCAGCCGTGTGCGCCACCCAGCGCTGAGCCTCCTGCTCGCTCGCCACGCTGCCCTCCTCGCTGAGAGCCAGCACATACACGGCCCCTGCAGCACGCAGGCACAGGCGCAGGCATCAGGCACAGGCCCACAGCCAGCAGATGAGCCCAGGGCAGCCCTCAGTCTCGCCCCTGCCACCAACACACGCACGCGCCATCGCCATGACTAGCAGCCCACCCCTGGCGTCCAGCTGCCACCTCCAACACTGCCGCCCACCCACCCGTGCGGTGGTCCACCGCCACCAGCTGGTCTGCCAGGAAGAAAGCGGCGTCGGGCGTGGGGCTGGCATGCGCCTGCCTCCCGCCGCATTCTGCCTTGAGCTCGTATCCCAGGTATCCCACCAGACCCCCCCAGAAGTTGAAGGGCAGGGCAGCGGCATCCTCGGGGCTGCGGCCGGGAGGCAGGCAGGGCGAGCACAAGGAGCGTGAGAGGGAGGAGGCCGCCGCCAGGCAGGGCGTGCTGTCCATTCGGCAGCCAGAAACACGCACTTGCAGGCCGGCTGACACCCAGCGAGGCTGGCCTGCGGGTCGGGCAGCAGCGGCAGGCCGGCAGGCGCACCAGACGCGGCAGCGCTGGCTGGCCAGCAGGCCCTGCAGCCAGTCCAGGAACCGGGTGCGCATTTCCTCTCGCCGCCCATCCGCCGCCGTCAGCACCAGCGTGCCCGGCGGCACGCCGCTGCCGCTGCCGCTGCCGCTGCCGCTGCCGCTGCCGCTGCCGCTGCCGCTGTGCGGAGCCGCCCCATTGCCAAGCGGCTGCGGCGAGCCGTTGGCGCCTAGTGCTGCTGCTGCTGCCGCAGGCGGCGGCTGCGGCAGGCGGTATTCTATGCGCCGCCACAGGCCGCCACCCCGCCCTCCCATGAACGAGTACCTCCCGCGGTCAGGGGTGGCGCTGTCTAGCCAGAACGTGTCTGCGGCTGCCTCGCTGCTGCTGCCGCTGCCGTCGCTGCCACCGCCAAACAGATGCCAGAAGAGGGCTTCGGAGCCGCCGCAGGCTGGCAGAAGCCACGGCAGGTGGCGGTGGTGCAGGCGCAGGTTGCCCGGCTGCTGATCCCAGGGCCGTGGCGGCATGGCTGCCCCTGGCGGGCCTGCAGGCAGCAGGGGGAGTGGAGTGGAAAGTTCAATGCGCTGTGTCCCAGCCTCCTCACGCGCGCTCTCTGGGCGGGTCCCACTCCGCTCCAGCCTGCCTGCTGCGCACGCCGTGCTGGGCAGCGCTGCGGTGCGCCACTGGTCAGTGCTGGTAAGAAGCCCACCTGCAAGCTTGGAGGCCAGCGAGGGCGGCACGCTGGGCACGCTGAGCCCGTGGTGGCGCCACGTCAGCGCCGCGAAGTTGCGCAGCAGCGCCACGCCGTACCGCGTGGCCACGCTCTCGGGGTGGAATTGCACCCCCCAGTGAGGCAGGCTGCGGTGGGCCAGCGCCATGAGCACACGTTGCCCGCTGGGGCCACCACCGCCGCCGATGCCGCCGCCGGTTGCTGGCAGAGGAGGGTACCCGCCATGAGCCGCAGCGCCACCAACCGCCGCGCCGTCGGCAGCGCCGTTTGTGCCGGCACCGGCGCCGCCACCGTCGCTGGGCGCAGCCTCCAGCTGCAGGGCGTGGTGCTGGCCGCAGGTCCACGCCAGGCCGTGCAGGCATGCCGGCAGGCTGGCCTCCTGCACCACCAGCGAATGGTAGCGCACGACAGCATAGGCGGGGCCCGAGGGGATGCCGTCGAACAGCGGGTGCCCGCTGTGCTGCACGCCGCTCAGCCGGCCGTGCACGGGCTCGGGGGCGTGCGCCACGGCGGCGCCGTGCGCCAGCGCCAGCGCCTGGAAGCCCAGGCACACGCCCAGGGTGGGGATGGGCAGCTGCGCCCTCAGCAGCTGCAGGCTCACGCCTGCGAGCAGCGCGATGGGGAGGGCGGGCGGTGAGGGAGGGCGGGCGGCAGCGGCTGGCAGGTGCGCGCTGCGAGGTGGGCAGCCCGCAGCCCGCGGCGCACCAATGTCGGCTGGCCGCTTGGGCGTGCCGGGGCCCGGGGAGATGACGATGTTGTGGAACTCCCCCGCCTCCAGCCGCTTGGACAGTGTGGGCCAGTCGACTTCGTCGTTGCGCAGCACAGTGGGCAGCTCTGCAGGAGCGGCACAACGGCGGTGGCGAGCAGCGGCGGCGCGGGCTCATGCTCTGTGCAGCACATGCACGCATCGCCTCACCTCCATTCACTTCCGCTATCAGCTGGAACAGATTGTATGTGTAGGAGTCGTAGTTGTCGAGCAGGAGCGTCTTCAGGCCCATCGTTGGGCAGGCTGGCAGCATGTGGCGGCAGCGGCGGCGGCGGCGGCGGCAGGTATGGGGTGCAGGCGAGCGGCCGACTGCCAAGGTGGGGCGGTGGTTACTGCCAGGAAGGGCCGGCTGCTGCTTGCAGGCACGGGCGGGTTCAAGCCGAGCGTAGGCGAAGGCCATGCCTCGCCCAGATGTCTCTGCAGCTCTGTGATCGATTAACCATCATCGCTGCATGCGGGCCTGATCCAATGCGACCGATTGAGTGGCTCGTTGAGCAAGTCCCGGTAGCTGCCGCCAGCTAGGCATGAGCTCCGCCTTCTGATCGCTACAGCAATAACGCGGCAATGTCAGCTTGACTCTCTTGACTACCACTCCTCCAGCACAGCCCAGGTCCAGTCTCGAGCTGCCACCCGCTGACAGGGGTTCTCGGGCCTCCAAGTCCGTGACGCAGCACTTCTCAAGGCCATTACCGACATTACCAGGCCCTGGCCAGCAGCCCTGCTTCGGAGTGAATGGCTTGGAGGCGAGGAGGTGGGCACTGACTCTAGCATGCCGCTGCGGCCACCCGTAGTCAGTCCAAATCCCAAGGCGGGACCTGTGCAGGCTGATTGACGCGCTGCAGCAGGTCCCGGCTGCAAGCTTGAAAAGGCTTGTCTCCCACCTCCCGGTGTGGATGGAACCCGCCGCCCAGCTTGCTCATGCTTTGATGGAGGAATGCACTGCTGAATCCTGGCATGCACTGGTGCGGCTGCAGGCCACTGACACATTGACCAGGCCGACTCGCTCATGACGGACGAGGGCGAGGCTGCCAGGCCTGGGTTGGAGAGCCTGCAGCGGCTCATGCAGAGCGCGACCCTGCCCGCCACCAACGCCGCCCAGATGCTGGTGAGGCGGCCGGGCTGCGGCGGCAGCCGAAGCGCGGCTCGGTGCTCAGCCTGCCTGGCTTCCCTTGGCCTGCTTTTGCAGCCTGCCCATTGATGCGGCTACAATTGTGTCCGTCGTTGTGCCATGGGCTGATCACATCTGCTGCTGCTGCTGCTGCTGCTGCTACTACCGTCTGGGCGCCTGCAGAGCGAGTATACGAGCGCGCCGTCTGCGGCGGGCAGCTGGGATGCCTTTGTGTCGCACAACTGGCTGCCTGTGCTGAGCCTGGCGCTGGGCTCCGAGTGGCGCAGCAACTACGATGGGGAAGTGGCGGCGATGATCGCGCTGCAGCTGTCCCTGCAGTCTCCCACCCCTGCCAGTGCCGAGGGCAGTTCCGGCAGCGCCACCACCGCATCTGCAGCAGCCGTGGCAGTCGCAGGAGCGCCCGCCGGCGCTGCTCTGAGCGCTGGGGCACCCACCGCGCCGCTAGCAGCGGGCGGGCAGCAGCCCTCGGCTGCTGGGGCGAGCGATGACATGCCGCCCGGCGGCGTGGCGGCCCGCGCGTTCATGGCGGAAACGGCGGATGTGGATGGCAAGCGGCGGCGGCTGCGCCGCAAGCGAGCCGCCTCCCCAGACTCACCCTACAGCTCCCCAGGCCCCGCTGCTGAGAATGCCGCAGCAGGCGCAGCAGGCAGCCCCGCCAACGATGCAACAACCGCTGGCACGCAAAGCGGCAAGCAGCCGCCCGAGCAGCAGGCACAGGCTGGCGGGAGCAAGCATGCGGCGGCAGGCAGCGACGGCAGCAGCACAGCACATGCAGGTCCTGGGCCGCCAGGCAGCGGCACGGCTGCAGACAGTGAAGAGGCTGCAGCAGGCGGCGGCACAGCCAGCGGCAAGCCGTCCCTGGTGCAGCGCGTCATTCGCCAGGTGTCCAAGCTGAGCCTCAGCAGCCCTGCAGCAGTGGCATCAGTGACCGCAGCAGGCCAGGCAGCCACCCCACCTAGCGGCGGCGCTAGTGCCCCCCCGACGGCAGCTGCCGTGGCTGGTGCAGCCACAGCTGGGCCTGTGGCTGGGGCTGGCGCATGGCCAGCTGCTGCAGCTGGCAGGAGCAGGGCCGCCGCCACTAAGCCGCCAGCAGATGGTGGCAGCGTCGGCCCTGCGGCGCGTCCGGAGCTGCAGCGCGGCCTGCTGGATAGTCTCAGCCTTGTGCACGACCTCTCCCAGGTGGGCCACTGCTGCCGTGCCTCCCGCCCCCGCTGTCTGTTCGTCTGCCATCATGCGTGCAGCGCATGTTCCACGCCGCCGGGCGCCGCACCTCTTGCTGCCAGGCTTAGGCGGCCCGTTGCCTGGCTGGCTGATGCACCACGGCTGCCCTGCTGCTCTGCCTGCCTGCAGCGCATTGTGTCAAACCTTCAGGAGGAGGTGGCGGCGCGGGGTCTGTCGCTGCCGCAGCAGGTGGCGGCGCCCGCTGCCGGCGGCGGCCTCCAGCTCAGCATGCTGCTGGGAGGCAGCCTGGTGGATCGCATGGACCTGCTTGGCAGGACAGGTGCGCGCCTGGAGGCACCTGCCGCAAGCCTGGGGCTGCAGGAGGGTTTGCTGCAGGCGATCCTGTGCTTGCTGTTCGTGAGGCGACGGTTGCATGCCGACGGCTGCACGCTGCTGAGCACGCCGCCGCTGCCGCCGCGCTGCAGCGCTGCACGTGGCGGCGGCCACGGGGCGCGACGACATCGTGCGCCAGCTGGTGGCGGCGGGGGCCAGCGCCGGCAGGGCTCTCCCCATGGACTACCGCACCCTGCTCAGGCAGCACCCAGACATGCAGCAGGAGGAGCAGGAGGAGGCAGCGGCGCAGGAGGAGCAGGAGCGCGAGGCGGCGCAGGCGTGGGAGGGGCCGGAGCAAGGCTGCGCAGGCGCCGCCGGCGAGGCAGCGTCCAGCTGCGCCTCTGAGTCCTGCTCCGAGGAAGCAGCCGCCTGCGCCGCCTGCAGCAGCAGCGTGGAGGGGCAGGGGCAGGGCCAGGGACCGCCGGGTCCGGGGTCGGGGGTCGGGCGGGCGCCGGCGCCCAAGCGGGGGCGCTACGTGACGGCGGGGCCTCCAGAGATCGGCCCGCCCAGCCTGCAGTACTGCACCCCCCTGCACCTGGCCGCGCTGTACGGACACCTGGAGGTGGTGGTGGCGCTGCTGGCCACACCCCAGGTGCGGATGCCGCCCCAGGCTGGCTGGCCGGGGATGCAGGGTGGGGGTGGCCTGTGCAGGGTGCATTTGTATGCCTGCTGCTGCTGCTGGGCGAGGCCGACGGCTGCTGCCTGCTGCCGCTGCTGCCCTGCCTGCAGTGCGATGTGAACGCCATCGAAGGGGCCACGCCGCTGCACCTGGCGGCGTACGCGGGGCACGCGCGGGTGGCGGCACGCCTGTGCCGCGCCCCCGGCGTGCAGCTGGACGCGCCAGACCTGCAGGGCCGTGTGGCGCTGCACCTGGCGGCCAGCCGGGGCCACGACGGCGTGGTTGTGGAGCTGTGGGCCAAGGGAGCCCTGGTTGACCCTGCTGACCTGCACGGCTGGACGGGTGCGCATCCCCCCTGGAGTGTTGTTGTCTGGCGTTGGCTGCCGCTGCGGCAGCCCATCCCGTGCCGTGTGCAGCCTTGCTTCTCCGGTCAGCCAGGCTGCACGCAGGCATTCCACGCAGCAGTGCGCTGCAGGCATGCGTGCCCTTTTGCCGTGGAGCCCCCGCCGACCCCTGCACTAAGGTGCCCCCATCGCTGCTCCCCCTGCCGCCCGCCCTGCAGCCCTGCACTACGCGTGCCGCGCCGGGCACACCGAGGTGGCGGCCAAGCTTGTGATCGCGGGGGCGTCGGTGGCGGCGTGCGACCCTCACGCCACCACGCCCGCCCACCTGGCGGCGGAGCGAGGCTTCTCGGGTGCGGGGGCCTGGCTTGCTGGCGGCGGTGGGGGGGGACGTGGTGTGGCGGTGGTGGTGGTGGTGGTGGTGGTGGTGGTGGTTGAGGGGTGCTGACATGGCCCTTGCATTGCTGCTGGAGTGGCCCTGCGCTGCAAGGTGTCGCCTGCCTGCCACCCTGCCTGGGTACCCTCCCCCCACCCACCACCCCCACCCCCCCACACACACACGTGCGCCCTCCCCTCCCGCAGACATTGTGGACAAGCTGCTGCTGGCTGGGTACGTGCCGGACTGCGTGGCGGGGCCGCTGGCTGACGGCACCGAGGGCGGCACCGCGCTGCACCTGGCGGCGGCGCAGGGCTGCGAGGGCGCGGCGCACGCGCTGCTGCGCGCCGGCGCCGACCCGCGCCTCCTTGACTTCTCCGCCCGCAACGCCCTCGACCTGGCCGTGCTGCACGGCCACACCCGGCTGGTGCCGCCGCTGCTGGAGGCCGGCTGCTGGTTCACAAACGGATCGGGTGGGTGGGGTGTGGGTGCAGCAGGGTGGGGCCGGCTGGATGGTGACAGATGCCTGGGATGGCTGGGCTAGCCTGGCATTGCAGATGCAGCTGGGAGGGGCAGTGGGGCCCATGTCAGCACTGATGCCTTTTCCGATCTATCTCAATTCCGCCCACGCACATGTCGCGCACACCGCAGCGCGCCGTCAACCCCGCCCCGCCCTGCCCTGCCTTCCCCACTGCCCCGCAGACTACGAGGAGTGCCCTCCCCAGCCCTCCCCCGGCGACCCGGCCGCCTGCCAGCTGGAGCTGCTGCGGTGCCTGGCGGAAGAGGCGCCCATGGAGCACCCTGCCTGGGCGGGGCTGGGCGACGGCTCCGAGCTGGTGGCAGAGTCGTTCCGCCTCTCCTTTGCAGAGTGTGCGGCCAGAGGCAAGCACGGGGTGGTGTGTGTGTGTGTGTGTGAGTTGGGGAGGGCAGGGACGCCGGCGCTGTGCTTGTGCTGCGCTCGAGCTGCGCACGCCTGCGTGCCCGCTGCTTGCTGAGTTGCCAACCCCCAGCCGCCGCCGCTCCCCGCCTGCAGCCGGCCAGCTGGAGGTTCTGCAGGCGCTGGTGGGGCGGGGGCTGGACCTGGGCGGCCGCGCCGGCTGCGCGGTGCTGGCGGCGGCGGTGCACCGCGGCGCGGCGCCGCTGGTGGCCTGGCTGCTGGAGGCCGGCCGCTGCGACGTGGCGGCAGCTCTGGAGCAAGAGGACCTCCTGCATGAGGCAGCCAGCCGGGGGGATGTGGAGGTGGTGCAGGCCCTGCTGGCGGCGGCGGGCGGTGCCTGCCTGGCGCGCACCGACGGGCGCGGCCTGGGGCGCACCCCGCTGCACAGCGCCGTCATCCACGGCCAGGCCGCCGCGGCGGAGCTGCTCATCCAGGCGCACCTGCGCTGCGGCGGGCCCGCCGGCCCAGCGGGGCAGCATCCGGCGGCAGCGGCAGAAGAGTCGGGCTTGGCGGCAGGCGGGGCAGGCGGGGCGTCGGCGGCGGGGGATGGTGCGGCTGCCAGCCTGGATGCGGCCGACGGCCAGGGCTTCACTGCGCTGCACTGGGCGGCGATGAAGGGCAGCGCAGGTAGGGTGGGGTGGGCAGGTGGCGGCAGCGCAGGGCGCGGGTGGGCGCGGGGCACTTCCAGCGGCCCATCGCACGCTTTCCTCGCTTTCCTCCGCCCACGGGAACTGGTTTCCAGCAGCGCACATGTGCCTGCCTTCCCTGCCGGCCTGCAGGCACGCTGCGCGCGCTGCTGGCCGCGGGGGCCGCCTCCGAGGCGGCCTCGGGCGAGGGGCAGACCCCGCTGCACCTGGCCGCCAAGGCGGGGCACGTGGCGGCGGTGCACGCCCTGCTGGAGGCGGGGGCGGGGGTGACCCCCACCGACGCCCACGGCTGCATGCCGCTGCACTACTGCGCCCTGCGAGGCGACCTCGCCCTCTTTGTCCTCCTCTTCTCGCCCTCGGCCCCCGCGCTGGCGCCCGCGGGCGGCGCCGGCGCCGCGCTGCTCATCGCCGCCATCCGCGGCGGCAGCAGCGAGATGGTGGGCATCGTGCTCATGACGGGGGCCGCTACGCCGCAGGTGGGCGAGCGGGGCGGCTGTGGCCGCGGGTCGGGCGGCCGTTGCTGGCCGCTGCGGCCTGTGGCTCCTGGCTGCAGCCGTTTTGCTGGCTGCTCTGGCCTGGCTGCTGGGCTGGCTGGCGGCAGGAGTACTGCGCCTATGGTGCGGCTGGCAGCCCCCTGCTCCCTCCTGCTCCCGGCTGCATGCTGTCCTGACCCACCCACAATCTCACCTTCCCCCTCCCTCCCTCTCTCCCCCACCCCGCAGAAGTGCCGGGAGGCGGGGCAGATGCCGGTGCACGCGGCCGCCCGCGAGGGCAGCCTAGACGTGCTGCAGTACCTGTACGGCTCGGGGTTTGACATGGCACAGCTGGATGAGGAGCGCAAGTCGCCGCTGCACCACACGCCGATCGGGAGCGGCGGCGCGGCGGCGTCCGCGCGCCGCGGCGCCGACCACCGCCAGGTGGCCGAGGCGCTGTTGGCCGGCGGGTGCCGGGTGGATGCGCAGGACGCGCACGGCTGCACGCCGCTGCACTTTGCGGCGGGGGCGGGCGCGCTGGGCATGCTGTGCCGCTTCATCGAGCTCAGCCCGGCGGGCGCGGCGGGCGTGGACCTGCCTGACAGCATCGGCTGGACGCCGCTCTTCTGGGCCTGCAACAACGGCCACGGTGAGGGCCGCCTCCGCGCTGCGCAGCGCAGCGCAGCACAGCTCAGCACAGCACATGCTGAGGGTTGCGTGTGTGTGGGTGTCTGGTGGGCCGCATGCCGCCCTGCCCCGCCTGACCCCTTGCCCTGAGCTGTGCCCCACACCCCGACCCACCCACCCGCCTGCAGCCGCGGCGGCAGAGCGGCTGCTGGCCGAGGGCGCCAGCCCCTGGAGCCAGGACTGCAACCAGCGCCTGCCACTGCACTTTGCCTCGGAGGCAGGCCACGTGGCGTGCGTGCGCCTGCTGGCGGCGCACATGCGGCGAAGCCGGGGCCCGGCCGCCGCGCCGGCTGCGGCGGCGCCAGGCGTGGCCCCCGCCCCGCTGGACCTGAGGGACCAGAACGGGCAGACGCCAGTCCAGCTGGCGGCAGAGCACGGCCACCCCGACTGCACGGCGCTGCTTCTGGATGCCGACGGCACAGGTGGGCTGGGCTGATTCGGCGGGGTGGCACGGTGCTCTAGCCCAGCAGCCGTGATGCGGTGCGGCTCCGGGCTGCGCATGCCAGGCAGTGCCTGGCACCCACTTGGGAGTGCCCCCCGCCAGCTGCTGTGCTAGACTGATGGCGTGCCTGCCTTTTGCCTCCCTGGCCTGCCCTCCCTCTGCCTGCCTTTCGCGTGCAGCCGAGGCCAAGCGGCGCACCGCGCTGCACCTGGCGGCGCAGCAGGGCCAGCCCGAGATTGCGCGGCAGGTGCTGGCGGTGCGCCAGGCGGCGGTCGGCGCCAAGGACGCCGACGGCTGGCTGCCCATCCACTACGCCGCGGCTGGCGGGCACGCCGACATCGTGCAGGCGCTGCTGGATGGTGAGGGAGGCGTGTTGGGGAGGCGGTGGGGTGGGTGGTGGGGTGTAGTGGTGGTAGTGGTGCATGCGGTTGCTGGCGCTTGCGGGCGGGCGAGTGCAAGGAAGGCGCATTGGCGGCTGGCCGGCCTGCCCGGAGCACAAGCCCAGCCCAGCCCAGCCGAGGCCAGCCTCCCGACGGAGGCGGCCTCGCTCAGCCGCCTGCCGCCTGGCCGCCCCTGGTGTCTGTGTGCGCCCCGCAGCCGGCAGCGACGCCGAGGAGCCCGCGGCCGACGGCGACTCGCCGCTGCACAAGGCGGCCATCGGCGGGCACCTGGCCGTGGTGCGCCTGCTCAAGACGCGCACGCAGGTGAGGCATGGCAGGGGCAGGGGCAGGCACGCATGCGCAGGGGCAGCAGGCCCTGGCAGGCGCACATGCCGGCGCCGCCCGCTTCTCCTCGCCTTCTCTGGATATGCCCTGGCCCCGCTCCTTTGCCTGCCTGCGCTGCGCACACCCTGCCCTGCCACCACTGCCACCCGCCGCACATCCTGCCCTGCCGCCACCGCCGCCCGCCGCACAGACCACCCACAGCCTAACCGGGCCCTCCCTGCCCCGCACCCCTGCCCCTGTCCCTGCCCCCTGCAGCTGGACCAGCGCAACGCCTCAGGTTCCACCCCGCTCTACAACGCCTCCAGCCAGGGCCACCTGGGCGTGATGCGGGAGCTGGTGGAGGAGGGGGCCTCAGGCACGCGTCGCACCGCACCGCCCCGCGCGCCGTGCATGCCAGCCCTCTCGCCGGCGCCAGCCGCCAGAGCCGCCGGCGGCGCTCTTCCATCGCAGCCTGCACCCCCCTGCTCGCCGCCGGCCCTCCTGCCACTCGCGCAGCCCGCGGCCAGGCGCACTCTCCCCGCACTTTCCCCCGCCCTCCCCTTCACTCCCCCTCGCTCCTGCCCGCCTGGCCTGCCCGCCTGCCCTGCAGTGGATGCCGCCACCACCAACGGCTGCACCCCGCTGTACATCGCCGCCAACAACGGCTTTGCCGAGGCGGCGGCGCTGCTGCTGGAGTTGGGCGCCGACCCCTACCAGGAGACCGCCACGGGCTGCACCCCGCTGCACGCCGCCGCGCTCAACGGCCACGCGGGCGTGGTGCAGTGCCTGGTGACGGAGGGGTGCGACGTGGATGTGCAGAGCCAGAACGGGTCCTCGGCGCTGCACAACGCGGCCTCGGGTGCGGGCCAGGGTAGCGCTGCGGCGGCGCCGGCCCGCTGCTCGGGCTGCCCGCACCGCGCCTGCTGCCCGGCTGCCTCCGCTGTGCCGCCTGCGCCCGTGCTGCCCTTGCTGCACACAGGCTCGAGTTCGCGGCGCGTGCCCGCGTCTCCTCTGCTCCCCTGCGACCGCCTCCCCTGCCTCACCCCCTCCTCTCCCTCCCGCTCCGCAGGCGGCCACGCCGGCGTGGTGGATGTGCTGGTGGCGGCCAGGGCGGACTGCGACGTTCAGAACAACAACGGCAACACGCCGCTGCACCTGGCGGCGGGCAAGGGGTGGGTGGAGGTGGCGGAGCGGCTGGCGGCGGCGGGCGCCGACACGTGCATCAAGAACAGCAAGGGCTGGCTGGCCATCCAGTCCGCCTCCAACGGCGGCTGCTTCGAGGCGGTGCTCAAGCTGGCGCAGCACGGCTCGCCCTGGCGCCTCAAGGGCGACGCCGACGTGGCAAAGCTGCTGGCCAAAAAGTCCAGCTACAAGTGAGACCGGGCGGCTGGCTGGGGGAGGGAGGGAGCGGGGTGGCGGTCGGGCATGCGTGTGTGGGGGGGTGCACTCAGGGTGGAGGGCGGGAAAGGGGCAGACCCAGGTCAGGGCCTGGCTTTGGCGCGGGGCAAGCGGCAGCTCGTGGACGCGCATGCGACGCTGCCGTGGCAGCATGCCCCCGCCTGCCTGCCTGCCTGCCTGCCCGCCTTGCTCATGGCTCCCCCGCGCCCGCCGCAGGCCCGGCTACGTGGAGGGGCGGCTGCGGCTGGCCGAGAAGGAGCGGCAGCGGCGGCTGGCCAAGCAGGCGGCAGCGGCGGCCGCCGCGGGCGCCGGCGGCGGCGAGGGCGAGGCAGATTTGCGGCAGGCGGCGGCGGCGGCCGATGCCGTGATGGCTGAGCTTCTGGAAGCGGAGGCGGCAGATAAGGTGGGCCCCTGCGGGGGTTGCACCGGGTGGCTCTTTGGCTTGCGAGCTGAGGGTCAGGCTGGTGCTGAGCTGGCACCTCATGCGCCCGGCGCTGACGTGGCAACTCCCGCGCCTCCCCGCCCGTGACCTGTGCAGGAGCGTGCCGAGAGGCAGCGGGCCAAGAAGGCCGCCAAGAAGCAAAAGGCGGCGGCCAAGAAGCAGCAGGCGGAGGCAGAGCAGCGGCAGGCGGAGGCGGCGGAGGAGGAGGAGCGGCGGTGTCGCGAGGCAGAGGCGCGGCAGGCGGCGGCCGCGGCTGGCGGCCACGCCCCCAGCAGCAGCAGCGAGGGAGAGGAGGGCGGGGTGGATGCTGCGGCCCAGCTGCTGCAGGCATGCGGCCTGGCAGAGGATGCAGCGCACGGCGACCGCGCCGCTGCCGCTGCCAGCGGTGCGGCCACTCCCGAGCAGCAGCGGCGGCAGCGGCAGCCGCAGGGCAGCCCTGGCAGCGCCGGGGGCGGCAGGTCCGCGCCCGCGCCGCCGGCCGCCAAGCCAGCTGCCAAGTCAGCGGGGGCGGCGCCGCCGCCGGTCAGGGTGCTGGGTGCGCCCAACAGCGTGCCTGCACCCAGCCCCAGCCGCTCTGTGCTGGCTGTGGGGCTGAAGAGCCCCCCTCCAGGCGCCGGCAAGCAGGGCAGGGGCGCGGCCAGCCAGCCGCCGAGCCCAGCCCCGCGCGGCGCGCCGCACGTCGTGGCGGCGCCGCGCAGCCAGCCGGCGACCAGGCTGGCGCCGTCCCAGCAGTCGCAGCAGCAGCAGCAGCAGCAGGCGAGAGGCCCCGTCGCAGCGCCCGCCCTGGCCGCCAGCGCCCCGCCGGTCACCTGCCCGGCGCCCTGGGCAGGGGTGACAGTGGCACGGGCCTCCGCGCTGCAGCAGCAGCAGCAGGAGCGGGATGCGGCGCCTTCTTTCCACCAGGCGCCTGGCATCACGCGCCCCGCACACATCGCCAGCACGCTGAGCCCTGCTGCGGGCAGCCAGCTGCAGCACCCCTCGGCCATGGCGGCAGCTGCCGCTTCGCTGGGCCTCATCCCTCGCGCGGCACCGCCCTGGCCCGCCCCCGCCGCCCCCCTGCCCCATCATCGCCCGCCGCCAGCTGGCCCTGCAGCCGCCACGGCCGCCCTGCAGCCGCCGGCATCCAGCGACGCCAGCGGCAGCTACATGCTGCACGCCACCATGCAGCAGCAGCAGCGGCCTGGGCCTGCGGCTGTGCGGTCTGCACTGTCACTCCTGGGGTCCCACCCCGGTGGCGGCCCCGGGAGCGGCGGCGCCGCGCTGCACGCGCCGCCCCCGCACCAGCCGGCCCCGGCGCTGCTGTCGCCAGCCACGGGGATCGCCGCGCAGCTGCGACAGCAGCAGCAGCTGCAGCAGCTGCAGGCGGGCACCCCTCCGGCCGCCTCCGCAGGCTTTGTGCCCCTGTTCGGGCTCAGCCTGCCCGCCTTCCAAGGTAGAGAGAAGGGGCGGGGTGCTTGCTCGCCGCGCTGCACCTGGGTCGGCTTTGCTGCCGGTCCACGCCATGCCGTATGTCTTGTGCTGGCATCGCCTGTTGGCCTGCTACACGCTGAGGATAGGCGCTTTGTGTCCTGCCGCTTGCCCCGCAGGCCTGGGCGTGGACTGGAGCGTGCAGGGGAGTGCGGCTGCGTCTGGCACCTTTGGCAGCCCCGCCCACCACGCCCCTCCGGTGTACCTGGCCCCGCCGCAGCCGGCCGCGCCCCCGCCGCCCCCGGCCCACGCCGCCGCGCCGGCCCCGGCTGGCGAAGCGGGCGGCGCGCCGCCGCTGGCTGGCCTCCTGGGCAGCAGCTTCTCCCCCAGCGATGCCAGCAGCATCGAGTCCACAGAGGCAGACGACCTCCTGAACGGCATCCACGGCCACGTCAGCAGGTCGGCGGCAGCTGGCGCCGCGGGGGCCGCCGCCGCGGTGGGGCGCGCCTCGCCCTGCGCGCCGCTCGGCGCAGCCAAGGGCGTCGCGGTGCTGCCGGCGGCCGCGGCTGCAGACGCCGACGGGATCGACGATGTGCTGCGGCTGCAGCCCTGGCTCAACGAGTGAGGCAGCCCCGGGTTGGGCCTCGCGTGGCGCTGCCAGCAACAGCGTACTTTAGAGCGGCCGAGCGGTGTTTTTTCCATGGTGCCATTTGATCCCTTCCGCTCCCTTTGTGCAACAGAGATGTACCAGTTATTTTCCCCTAGTTTGCCTCAGTCTCCCGCAATTTTATTTCTTTTCAGCGCAGTGCTTGCCCATGCGATAGCGCATGTGCCACTGACCACCCGCTAGGCTAGGGCTCGCCTTTCCTCCCTTGTGCACTTGCTGCCGCACACCACACTTTGAACGCTGGTGTGTGTTGCTCGCAACATGCTGTGGACTTAAGCATCGATCTGGCAGTGCGGGAATGGGGCAAGAGCAGGGAAAAGAGGAGGGTTGCAGCTGTCAAAACCTGCCACTGTCATCGCTCGTAAAATCAGAAACATAATAGCCATCCCCATCTGTGGCCCCACCACCCGGCGCTGCTGCGGCGGTGGCCAGCGGTAGATGCTGCCCCGCCTGCTGCTCGCGTGGCGCCCCCGGTGCCCCCTGCTGGCCACCGCCGGCCACCCCGGCTGCCTCAGGCTCGCCAGCAGATGCCTCGCGGCTGACGCTGCTGCTCAGCGTCCCGTCCCTGCCGCCGCCGCCGCCGCCTGCTGCACGCTGCTGGCGGGCTCGGTATGCTGCCAGGATGTCGGAGGAGGTGCGGCTGGGTGGCTTGTGTGCAGCATCCACCCCCGGCTGCAGCCACAGGCTGCCGCTTGCTCCCAGGCTCGCTGGCTGCACAGCCTGCTGCTGTGGCGGCAGTGCTGGCGGTGGTGGCTGCACTGCCGAAGCAGGCAGCGGCTGCCGCATCCAGGGAGCCTCCCACGGCGCGCTGGCGGGCGCCTGCTGGGCGGCACCCCGCCCACGCTGGTCCACTGCCAGCTGCGCCGCTGGCTGGCGGGAGCCCTGCACACTGCCAGCTGGCTGCACCGGGCGCACGGCTGGGCCTGCCCCAGCAGGCTCCGGCGCGCCATGCTGCGGAGCAGGGGGCGCGTCGGCCGGGCTGCCATCATCGCTGTCCTCCCCACCCGCCTGCTGCCCGGCCCGCGCATGAGCGGCCAGCACGTGCTGCAGGCCCTGCGCCACCGCCGTGCGGCTGGCCAGGGCACGCTGCCTCAGCTGAGCAGCCTCCCGCCGCAGCCCCGCCTCCTCCCGCTTGGCCGCCTCGACCCGCGCCTCTGCACCCTCCTGCCACCGCTCTGCGTCCCTGCTGGCCGCCTGCAGGGCGCCTGCCAGCGGCCCCTCTGCGCCGGCGGCGGCCAGCGCGGCCTGCTGGTGCAGGTCTGCCACCTCGCGCGCCGCGGAAGCCAGCGCCAGGCGCAGCTCCTCGCCGTGCCGCAGCACGCGGTCGTGTGCCTTGGCGCTCTGCACCAGCGCAGCACACGGCAGAGTCGGGGCACCAGAGCAAGTGACGAGGCGTGCACACGAGGCCACCGCGATCCCAAGGCAGGTGCATGTGTTGTTTGTGACTGGAGAGGCGTGACTATTGGCCTCCCCCAAGCGAGATGCATGCAGTGAGAGGGTGTCTGGTAGGCCCACCCCACCTTGTCCAGGAGCCTGTCGGCCTCCGCAGCGCTGCCGCGCCACAGCCGCTCCCGCTCGCGGCAGGCCCCCACCTCCCGCTGCAGTTCCTCCACCCGCCGCATCAGCTGCCGCACCCCCTGCTGCAGCCGCGCGGCGTCGGCAGGCGGCAGGCCTGGCGCGGCAGCGCTGGCCGCGGCCGCCGCCTCCGCCTGCTCCAAGCCCCGCCGCAGCGCCTCTGCCTCCTCCCTCAGCTCTGCCTCCTCTGCCTGGTGCATCGATCTGGCGGCCGCCAGCTGCTGCCGCAGGCTGCCCTGCTGCTCCAGCGCCTCCGCCAGCTGGCGCTGCAGCCCAGCCACACGCCCAAGCTCCGCCTCCGCCACGGCCTGCGCCCTGGCTGCCGCTGCCTCCCGTGCCTGCACCTCTGCCAGCCGAGCCTGCAGCCGCTGCTCCCCCTCCGCCCGCTGCGCCTCTGCCCGCCGCTCCGCGTCCTCGCCCCGCTGCCGCGCCTGCTGCGCCGAAGCCTGGGCAGCAGCCAGCTTGGCCTCGCTCTCTGCCTTCCGCGCAGCCAGGCGCTCCTCGTCTGCCCGCATGCGGCGCAGGTGATCCTCCCCAGTCAGGTCATGGTCAGCCGCCGCCCGCCGCCGCCGCTCCAGAAGCTCCTCCTCCTGTTGTCAGCAAGGGCAGGGGTGAGCGGCGCGCGGGTCGAATCGCTCAAGGCCTCTCAGTGCCTGGAGGCCTCTCAGTGAGCGGCAAACCAACCAGGAGAGAGCCCTTGCCACCCCCCACCCCCCGCCACACCCACCAGCGCACCTGCTTGTTCAGGCGCGCCAGCCGCTCCTGGTACGCCTGGTGCAGCGCTGCCCGCTCCGCCTCCAGCTCCTGCCGGCACCGCGCCGCCGACTGTTGCCGCGCCGCCGCCACCTCTGTCTCACGCACCACGCCCACCCGCTCTGCCAGCTGCGCTGCGTAGCGGGCATCGCACTCCCGCTGGTACGCCGCCATGCGCTCCTCCAGCGACCGCGCCGCCGCCTGCTCCAAGCCGCCGCTCTTGCGCTGATACTCCTCCTCTATCTGCTGCAGGCGCTGCATCAGCTGCTGGGATGTGATGGCTGCAGGAGGGCCGCTGGTGGCGCCGCCGCCGTCGCCGTGCGTCTGGCAGGCGGCGGTGCGGGTGCCCACGTGTCCTCCCAGGCAGCCCAGCGCAGCCAGCATGGCCTCAGCCAGGCTGGCATGGGGGCTGCTGCTGCTGCACTGGCTGGCTGCTGGGGCCGCCCCGCAGCTGCCTGCGCCGCCGCTGGCGCCGGTCAGCAGGGCGTGCAGCTTGGACTCTGGCAGAACCCCCACCAGGCGCAGGATGTCGGCGTGGCACAGCCGCGGCAGGGCATCGCTGCCGCTCTCGGCCAGGAACACAGACAGGGTGTAGCGGTACTGCTGGCCCAGCAGGTATTCGGCCAGCAGGCAGTTGAGCACATGCTGGTGCAGCGTGGGGCTGCGAGCAGGCGGCGGCAGCGGCTGCCAGCCCGCTCCCGCCGCGCCGCCGCTGGCGCCGGCGCCGCGGCCCCTCAGCTCGGCATACAGCTTGGCCCTCAGATGCGCCTGTGGGCATGGGGTGGGAACTCGTGTGTGCAATCTGCTGAACACTGTGGCTTGAGAGTCCTTCTTGCAAGCCTCGGAGGGCTGCTCCAGCACACCTTGACGGAGCTCAGCACGTCGCTGGATAGGATGCGACGGAACACCTGCGCCCTCAGCACCTCGGCCTGCTGCTGCCGCTGCACATTCTCCTTGTCACCGGTGCCGGTGGTGTCTGCTTCCTCCACCGTCGCCGCCGCCGCCTCGGTCCGTGCTGCCACCCTCGCCATGGCGTCCGGCGCGCCGGAGTTGCCGGCCAGCACCCTGCCAGAGCACGCTGCAGCTGTCTGGGCGTCGAACAGGGCGCCTGGGAGCGAGTCAGCGTTGACCGGGCAGTGTCGGGAGCCGAAGTGAACGCTGAATGGCAAGGATCACTGCGCATTCGGTCGTCAATGCCATACATCAAGTATCAATACATTGAGGTGCAAAAGTAGCACCACGTCAGTCCAGGTTAGGTGGCGCCCAAGGCCCCTATGGCAGGACCCCCTGCATATCAATTGACGATCAGCATCGCTATGCGGGGCCTGGCGCAGCTGCGGGCAGCCCTGCACACTGCGGCCTGTCGGGGCGCCACCAGCAGCGGCGCCGAGGCGGCCTGGCAAACCCTGAGGCGAGCCAGCCTAGTCACCCTGCTGCGCAGCGAGGCCTGGGGCCAGGTGGGTGCGACATGGGCGCTGCCCGCTTCTGGGGCTTGGCCCTGGCTCATAGGCTCAGTCAGGCGCTTCCCTCCCGCAGGTGGCGAACCCAAGCTCTCAGCAGGGATGGCCGCAGCAGGACCGACACTTCAGCGAAGTGCCAGTAGCGAGGTAGGGCGGGCGCTTCGCCGTGCCGCGCCGGCCCTCCCCTTTGGCGCCAGGCCGGGCCACGCAAGGCTCTTGCTGCTGCCCGGGGCCATGCTGCAGCTCCCGAGAGATGGGCGAGGGCTACTTCCACAAGATAGTGGACACCACCCTGGAAGACTTGCTAGAGCGGCTGGAGGTGCGGGGCGGGGGGCAACGGGCGCTGGCAGCTGTGTCGCCCGCAGCACATCGCCCTGGCCCTTGCTCAGTAGCACATGCCTTTTGCTTTTGCACACACACCAACTGCACCAGCCCGCCACTGCTGCAGTTCTTTGTTGAGGACCTGGACACTGTGGATGGCGATGTGGAGTACAGCGTGAGCTGCCTATCCCAGCTGAGCGGCAGAGCTTGGCACTGGGGCAGCAAGGCGTGCACTGCAGGTTACCACCCCCACCGCCCCCCCCCCCTGGCTTGCAGCAAGGCGTGCTGACGGTGCGGCTGGGCGACTTTGGGACGTATGTGATCAACAAGCAGACCCCCAACCGCCAAATCTGGATGTCCTCGCCGCTCAGCGGGCCCGTGCGCTACGACTGGGGCCCGGGTGGGTGCAGCAGCCACGGCCGTGCGAGGCTGGCTGCAGGCAGGGAGCCAGGCGGCGCATGACCTCCCTATCTCATTGCCCCTGCTGTTGCTGGCCAGCCGCAGGCAAGTGGGTGTATCACCGCGACGGCCACGACCTGCACACGCGGCTGAGCGAGGAGCTGAAGAAGCTGACGGGGCACGAGCTGGACCTGTCGCCCTGCTTCGCCTGCGGCAAGCTCAACGTGTGCCAGGGGGAGCAGTGCGACAACGGCATGAACACCTAGCGAACCAAGCCAAAAGTTAAAACACCATGCATCAATCGGCAGAGCAGGCCACACCGACTGCTCGCGACCGAGGCATCATTGCCGAAGCATGCCTCCTGTATTTGCCTTCTGTTTTGCTGCTACTCACAAACTGCATTTCATGCCTGCAACATTTTACAATGTACTACTGTAAACACAGCGAGAGTAGTCGGCGGTGGCAGACGGCGCCAGGAAGTGCAGCGGCGGCGCCGCCAGCGGGGCAGTCTTGCCTTGCCTCCTTTCTGCGTTCCTGCCGTCCTGCTGGTGTCGGCGTGTTTCATCCATAGTTCTCACACCCCTGCAGCTCTGCTGCGGTAGCTGTTGGCGCGGGAGCAGTGCGGGCAGGCCCCATGGCAGCGCCTCGCGGGGCGGGCGCTGCATCCAGCGACTCGGGCAGCCTGTCAGATCCCTTGGGGACGCAATCATCGCCCGGAAGTGCAACCCTGCCCTCGCCCAGCACCCCGCCTGCTGAGGAGTGGCAGGCGCACTGGGCCCGCACCATTCCACAACTGGCGCAGATCACCAGGTGTGCCTGGGCGGGAGCTGCGCCGGGCAGCGGACTCCCAGCCGCCAGAGGGCCTCCCGCCTGCGGCTGCCGCTGCCGCCTCCTCAGCGGCACCTTTCCTGCTCTCCTGCAGGCAGCTCAAGCCGCGGCGTGACGTGAGCATCATGCGGTCCAGTCAGATGGATGCGGCGCGGCTGGACGAGGAGCTGAGCAGCATGCTGCGGGAGCAGTTCCTGCGCGCCTTCTCCCTCTTCCGCCCCGCCGCCGTCGCACGCCTGCAGCCCGAGCTCACGCTGCTGCTCGACTTCTTGGTGGGCGCCTTCTGGTGCCGCCTGTGTCTGGGCAGCTGTGCCTGGTGTTGAGGCAACACCCTGAGAGCACGCATCAGCAACCGCGGTCCCCGAGCTGTTGTGCGGCAGCTGCAAGGCAGGCAGTCTCCCTTCGACGCTAACGGAACCTGGCCCACCTTCTCCCCTGCCCCCTTCCTGCAGATCTTCCGCTTCTCCATCTGGGAGGGACGCCCGCTGCCAGGCATGTCGCTGATGAACCTGCGGTACCGCAATGAAGCCGCAGTGCAGCTGCCTCCTGCAGGCGGCGGCAGCAGTGCAGGCGGCGGCAGCAGCGGTGGCAGGCAGCAGCCGGCCTGCCTGGCGGGCGGGCACAGCGGGGTGGAGGGGCCGGGGCTGAGCGCGGGGCAGCGCAGCCTGTACTGCCTGGGCACTGTAGTGCTGCGGTACGCCTGGGCCCGCACCACGCACCACGCCGCGGCGCAGCACTGGGGCGACGCTGGCGGCACGGTGTGGCGGCGGCGTGGCTGGGACCTGCTGCGGCGGGCAGAGTCGGGATACCGCCTCGCCTCGCTGCTCAACTTCCTCGCCTTCCTTCGTACGGGACGGTACAGGTGGGGCTGCAGTCGGCGCAGCGCAGGCAGGCGTGCAAAGCTGCTGGTGCTGCCGCCGGCCAGGCCCCCATCCCCTCGCCCCTTGTGCCGCTCTCCATCTGTGTTGCCAACACGGCGCCCCACGAGCCTGCAGGAGCCTGCTGGAGCGGGTGCTGCGGGCGCGGCTGGTGTACCAGCAGCCCTCTGCGGCGCGGGCCATCAGCTTTGAGTACCTCAACCGCCAGTTGGTGTGGAGCGAGCTCAGGTGGGGCGATTGGGTGGGTGGGTGCTGGCTGCTGCACATGCTGGCGGGGAGGTGGTGGGCATCCTGGCTGCTGCTGCCGAGGGGAAGCAGCGGGCCACTCGCGTGGCGACCCAGTCTTGCCCTCCTCCTGCCCGCCTGCCCCTGCAGCGAGCTGCTGCTCTTCCTGCTGCCGCTGGTGAATGTCAAAGCCATCAAGCACGCCCTGCGCAGCTACTTGCCCCGCCTGCCCATGCTGGCAGGTGCCGGCGGGGCACTGGCGCTGGCTCCCGGCGGGCAGCAGGACCAGGGCAGCGGCCAGCAGCAGCAGTGCGGAATCTGCAGTACGGTCGACATTCTGGCGCCGTATGCGGCGGTACCATGCGGCCACCGCTTCTGCTACTACTGCCTGCGCTCCCACTGCCTGGCAGATGCGCAGTACAGCTGCCCGCTGTGCCTGCGCCGGGTGGATGCCATGCGCCAGCTGGGCCCCCCTAGGGCGGCGGGCAGCGGTGGCAGCGGCAGCGCTACCGGCGGCGGCGGGGACGCCGGCGGCGGCGGCCCTGGCGGGGACAGCGAGGCAAAGGTGCTCGCCAGGAATGAGCTGTCGCTGGCGGGGTGGCTGGCAGAGCGGCATCCCAGCTCCCTCCCCTGATGCGCTGTTGGGCGGGTGCCGTCTGGTGTGCGTGCATGCGTTTACATAACCTGGACGCACTTGCACAGCGACAGGAACACGGAATGCCAATGCCACAAGGAAGCCCATCAGCCGGGCACAGCACCAAGTACGAAGAATTGTGTAGTAACATGGCTGCAAGCAGTAGTATCTGTTGCAGACCGCGGGTGGTGCAAGCCGGCGCACCCCGCCAGCAAACGGCGTGGATGAAATTATGTCAAGCGCAACATGGGAGCTAAGCTAGTAAGGGCACACGGCAGCTCAGAAAGAGATGAGATCCATTCATTCCTTTGCGGTACTGGAAGGCTGGGAGCGGCATACTGGAATACCAAACTGAGGGGGGGTGAAGCGGCAAGGGACTTGTACAGGCGTCATTTATCAAAGTGCTACTTCACTGCTCCACGCACGATCACACGGGCACCGCTTGGGGCGGGCGCCTCGCCTGCTGCCATGTCCTGGCCCCTCAGGGCATGGGCAGCGGCAGCTCGGCGTAGAAGTTGCAGCTGGCGCCGTGGCCCTGCTTCCACGACCGCCACTTGCCGTCGGACGTCTTCAGCACAAACTCCACGCCCCTGCACACCGATGCCCAGCCGGCGGCGAGGCCTTGCCTCAGAGCCGCGCAGCAGGCGGGCCCAGTGGGACACACGCCCCGCCCCGCCCCCGATTGCACCCCCCAGCTGGCCCGCCAGCGCCACCAGCAGGCAGGCCAGCACGCCGCCACGCATGCCCGGGGTGGCAGAGTGAGATAGGCTCGAGAGGTGTAGCAAGGGGCTGGCTCACGAGCAGCTGCAGGCGTTAATGGCCCTAGGCTGCAAGGATTTGCATTTTCATATACTCCGTAGAGCATCCAGCGAGTCCATGCCCCTGTTGTGAGCGCGAGCGGTCTGGTACATAAGGCGCCTCGTCAG